TATTTACATGCCTACTCCCACGCTTCCCGTAAGACAGAAACTTGGGGCTTTTCACATACGACATCACTATCCCACCCTAACTCTAACCCTAACAGAAATCCATTGAGTAGGCATGTAAATATAAATAAGAACATTCGTGCGATACAACGGAAACTCCTGCCCACTTTTCATTTAGTCTGACGACGAACACGTGACACCTGTTCGAAAATTACAAGCATAACTCGATTTTCCGAAGATCTTTCTTTTCAATTTATACTCTATTTACCTACCAAGTTTCACCCGTCTAGGTCGACATTTAATTGGACAGTTACTTTTTCTTATTAATAGGCGATAATCGTTTGCAGTTGAATAAGAAGTCGCAGTGGAATCCTAGTTTGGTTCCCAGAAATTGTTTAAATAATTTAATGTCTTCGCAACAAAATAGCGCGCTATAAATAAACACAGAAATTTAGTTATATTTCTTCCGCGCACACCCTTAATTTAAATGCGGAACAATTTTACGTTAGTATATTTTATTTGGTTTATTTGACCTATTTATCTGTAAGTTCAGTTTTCAGTTCATTATTATGTTCACTATTTTTATTTGAGTTTTAGATTATTTTTTAAGTAAAGTCAGTTTATCTTACTTTAATTTACGTTTTTTGGCTAGCTGATTTTAGTTGTAGTTAGTTATTTTTTAATTCATTTATTTCCCAATATTTGCATAATTGCACATTTTAATTATGGTGCCCTTTTTGTTGAAAAACATTAGGGCATTTAAATAATTATTCCTGTTTTTGGTTTTCTAAACTTAACCTTTTTTTAAATTTGAATTTCCTTTCCTTTGTATTGCCCAAACTGGATATGTGGGAACCTGCCGCGCTGACTCTGCTTTCGCCCTGCCAGGGCTTACACCCATGCTTAGTCATCTTCGCCGCGTGTTATCGGCCTTTTCCCACGTTATCGACCCGCTCGCCACTTCATACGTGCATTCAATCATAGGTAATCGATATTTCCGCCTCATATGATTGGCGGCAGCCGATTGATTACTCGTTCCACAGCCTGAACTTTACACATCTCCACTTTTGCACCTACACGGCGGGTTTTTGTACGTAGCTCCTGCAGCAGCTTCTACAAAGCCACTTCGGCTGAATAAAGTCATTCCTACTCATTCAGTCTTCCGAAACTTGTGATTTGGGGGAAACCTTCTGTTGATCGACACTACTACCCGCAAAAGATACTCTTTATTTCACCCGGTTCTGTATTACAGAAGGATGGGGCTCTCACGTGCTTATCTAGGACCCTAACTAGGGTTCTACCAAAGTCGTGAAATTGTTTAACGTCAACAAATTCTGCTAATATCTCGTGATCTTCGCTTTGTTCAGATCATGCTCGGTGTCTTGAGCGGGTGCCACAACGCCCAAAAAGTGAAATCCGAAAGCATACAAAGCCATGAAGAGCAAGTGGCACACTTACCTGACCCATGCGTAGGAGCGAGTCGTCTCCTCGCTAAACATCGAGGGTAGGGACGCCGTATTGATGACCTCTAAGCAGGGCTTGTTAATGGTTTTGCCCTTGCAGATCCGATGTCGTCGCAGTCGCGAAGTCTTCGCGCTTTCAACTGGTCTACCGCCGCCGCCGCTGCCCTCCTCCATCTCGTCATCCAGCTCGTATTGCAGTCTGCGCCGGTTCATTGAAATACCGAAGCCAGAAGCAAATCCCCTTCCTCGGCCGCCGCCGCCATCCTCCTCCTCTGTAGGAGGCTCCTCCTCCTCGCCGGTGACTCCAGCCACCTCCACCACCTCAGCCACATTGTCCTCGTCCAGAACGTCCAAATCGAGGTAGAAGAGGTAGTTGTGTGTATGCAGCATCAACTGTAGGCCCCAGACCTGAGAAATGTAGCCGAATCTTTCGTCGGGTGCTGCCGGCAGCAGCAGTTGCTGCCGTGCCGGTACCCTCTCT